AGGACGCGAACCACAGTCGACTACGTGGGAGTCCAGCGACATAGCCATTACGCTAACTGCTGGTTCCCAAGCATACTTTTTTTAATAAGATAAACACAAGCCAAGATTTCAGGCAAACAATGAGTAAGAAATTCCTTTTCATCGTATAAGTTTATTATAAATCTTTTGAACAATCTGGAATGTATGGGATCAGAAAACAAGATCAAGAAAAATGGCTGAACAGCAAAAATTAGGACCAGTCATCAGGCTCAGCCTCCCATCTAAGCTGTTTGGACCTGTAGGAGCAAACAAAGATGAGCCTTTTATACTGTAGACTCTTGATGGCCTCGTGGCACATCCTGCTAAGTACCAAGAACTTCTGCTCTGCCATGGCTTGAGTTTCCCACCCACAATGCAGGTCAACTACTTGTTTGTTCCTTTTCTTATATATTTATTGTTAAATATTAACATTTTACAAATAAAAGACTAAGGAAGGAAAAGGTATACATGTTCTAATGATTTTTCCCCCCTGAATGCTATAACTGGTGAAAGGATAGAAAGCATCCATAAGCTATCTTTTATCAAAAATGCTTGGGACAAAAACGCTTAAAGTTTCAGACTTTTTTGAATTTTGGAGTATTTCTGAAATATGGAATATTAATGAGTAATCTTGGGAGGTAACCCAAGTCTACCCATGTGTGCTTCATATGTACCTTATATGCAGTCTTAAGACAATTTTAAATAGTATTTTTAGATTATTTTTTTATGTTACCTCACTTATTTTTTATTTATTTGTGGTACAAACACTTAAAACCCACTCACTTAACAATTTGCAACTATTAGTATAAAATGCTATAGGCTAGAGTTGCCCTGCTGTATTTTGATGATGACCTGTGACATGAAGTTATCTGGAATGTTCCACCTATGGTATCATATTGGTGCTCAAAAATTTCAGATTTTGGATTAGGTATGCTCAATCTGTACTATCAATATCATAAATAACTAAAATATCTATAAAGCATATAAAGTTACTTAGCAAACTCATACTATGTGAAAATAGTTCACCTCCCTAGAAAATGAAATAATTTTCCTAGTCTGTAATCTTGTTTTGTTGTGATCTAAATGCTTTTTAGACCTACAAGCTCTCCAGAGGGAGAAATAAAAAGGCCATTCCTTCCAGTTGTAAGAGATAAAAAGACTTTTAAAATATTGGGTTCATTAGAAGTTTAAAATCAAGGCTATTTTAAAGCTTTAGTTAAAACAACTAAGGTAAATAAAAGAAAATAAAAACAAAGTGATCATTCACCAGAAAGAAGGAACTGAGTCCCCCCAACCCAACACTCTTGGTTCATATCATTCAATATAAAATCAGAATCTCTCCTCCAAGTAAATGGATTGACTTCTTTTTTCTCCATGGACTAATTCTTGCTGCAGAAATTGGCTTCTTGGACTTCTCCTAAAAAGTTCAATGAGACTTTTCTGGCCTGCTCTGGAGACTCCCTAATGTATAATGTTCAGCAAGTAGACTCCAGTGGTGAATTTTTAATTATGCCACATCATTTTCAGTAAATAGAACTTCGGGCTCAATTAATGCTGTCAGATCCAATTTTTCTCCCACCTGCTACTGAGCTCCACTATGTGGCGTTTGCAGTAATTGCCACTTCCTCAGAAAAGAGGACTGTCTACACAGAGGAATGTTGGCAGCCCTTTGTAATACTTTGCATCCTCCTCTCTCCTGCCTCAAGAGTCCTACAGTAGGAGCATTTCTTCCAGCAGATTCTAATTCTGTTTTCTGGAAAGCAGGGACAATGGATATGGCCAACTGTTCTCTCTCAATTTCTATTTAGTCTGATTATTTCTTGATTCTTGTGAGGCAGTGGTTCCTTTTATCATAGGGCATGTGTCCTTGATAGAGAGAAACAGTGAGAGGCAAAGTGAGAAATCCCCCACCCTGGGGGATGGCCATGCCACAATTACTTCTCCTCTATACTCCTCCTGGGATTTCCAGCATGCATGCACACATGCCCAGCATGAGATTCAATCTACCAGGTCCAGCACTTGAACTGGGGTTGGCCATGTGGGAGTCTAGCACCTTACCACTATGCCACCTGCTGGCCCTGAGGCAAGTGATTCTTAAAGTGTGGTTGGTCCACAGACAATAACATTGGAGTCACCTGGGAACTTGTTAAAATTTTAAATTCTCGGGAACCAGCAGTAGCGTAATGGCTATGTTGCTGGACTCCCACGTAGTCGACCATGGTTCGTGTCCCGGACCCGGTGGCTTAAAACACGCCGGGCGCATGTGCGTGTGTGCCCAAGATCCCGAGAGGAGAATGGAGGAGAAGGGATTGCGGTGTGACCATCCCCTCTGGGGGGTGATTTCTCGCTTTCTGTCTCTCTGTCTCTCTCTCTGTGTCTGGCGAGCGCACACGCCCTATAGTAAAGCAAACTATCCAAAAAAAAAAAAATTAAATTTTCAGGCTCCATCTTAGACTTACTGAATCAGAAACTCTGGAGGTGGAGCTCTACTATATAAATTTTTTAAATAACACAGATTATCTGATACATGATTAAGTCTATGAAAAACTGCTGGAAGATAAGTTTTTCAACTAAGGGCAAGTATAATTTTATTTTATTTTGTGAAGGTTCCAATAGCAGAGTTTTTTTTTTTTCTGATTTATAAGTTATAACACAAAGTAAAATTCCTATTTTCATACTATAGTAAATAGTATTATTTACAAATAATAACTTAGCTTTATCTTTGTTTTCCCTGATTTCTCTAAGCATAGATGGTTGATCCCTGTTTTATTTTCCACTTTTTCACCCTTGTTTACTTTATTAGGTACATTATATTGTTATGTATCTGTTAACATGCTTGCCTTTGGACCACTTGAGGGCAGGAACCTTGTCACACTGATCATTGTGTCCTCAAAGCTCAGCACAAATTGCATATAGTAATGTGTGTTTATACATTAGATATTTCCTGAGTGAAGAAATTAGTTAAATTACAATTTTTAAAACTATATAATGGCCTTAAAAAGTAGGACTGGGGGTCAGCCTGGTAGCCTAGTGGTAATGTGCTGCTCAAGTGATGGTGAGTCCATATAGATGATTCCAGGTTTAATTACCAGGACAACACAGAAACACTAGCCATACACGCTTGTTATACTGGTTGTTTGAGAAGGCTGTGCGGGATTGTGCCTTGAGATCCTGTTGAGTATGCTTCTTTCTCTCTCTCTCAAAAAATAAACTTAAGAAATAGGACTGACAGGCAAGTAACTAAAGACCCAGAGAAGTTAAATGATTCAGCTGGCAATTGCAGAACCAGGGCTAAAGACCAAAATTTACCTCAGTTCTGAAAAGGCAATGGCCACAGGTCCCTAAATATTGCCCTAATGAACTCAACTCAGGTTAGGAAGACTTGAATACTTTGACTCTTAAAGGAGGAAAGCCCTTGATTTGCTCCCAGACAGGTTGCCCCAACTCCCAACCTTCACCCCTGACTGTAGTGATGTTACAAAATTGTGGCATTCTTGTACCACCCCAGATGCTGAAAGAAGTGGCTGAGGGTGCCAATTAGTGAGACACAGTGCAAAGACTGGGAATAGGAAAAAGGAAGGGAATCATGTAGAAAATTAGGACTGGATTTTATTTTTATTTTTGCGATAGGATCTTACTATGTCACAATTATCCTGCCTCAGTCTCCCAAGTAACTGGGAGTGCAGGTGTATGTCATCGTTTTAGGGTAAGCCAGGAACCAAAATTAGACCTTTCATGTGACCTCACCTGCTGAGTAGCAGCATCTACCTCTGTGCACTACTGCACCTGTCTCAGGAATGCACTTTAGTGCTAATAGACGGACAGTCCCTGACATTATTTGCTTAGTCCTTGGTAACAAACTGCAAATGAGGTCAACTTTTAAAGCTCATTGTTGATAATCTGCCAGGGTATCCCCCTCATATCAAAGTGACAACAGCATGGGAGGTACTTGGTGAGATAGTGGGTTTGTACTTTGTGGGAATGGGTTGACACTGGTTTTATCCTACCTCTTGATACTCACCTTGTCATCTGTAAGTAATCTGGCTGAATTATAATAACGGGAAGGGGTAAGCTATGAGCATGAGATGAAGGAAACCAACTGGCTTGCACAAAGATTAAAACTTGCACTTTCCCTATGCATAATTTTCTGTACATCTAATTAAACTGGTTCAGCCCCTTTTACTTAGACACCGGGTACATAAGTCTTTGTAACACATTTGTAAATCCTTGTAAACCTGGGTGAAAATAAATAGACTGGGGCACAGGATGGCTCCTGAAACATTCACTTCTTAATCACAATGGATTGCTGTCCCATCAGGCCTCATTGCTTATCATATGGCTTTGACTACCACTTTGGAACAATGACTGTACATCTGACCCTGTCATTCTTCTTGAGAGTTCCAGTGCCATCTCTCTAATTGCCTGCCAAACACTGTCCATCAGTACCGCAATTCAATATGCTCCAAACCAAATCCATCATCTTCTCTTCTAGCCCAGATTCCCTTCCCAACTAATTCGTCTCTTTCACTGGCAGAGTACATTTGTGTCACAATCACCCAGCTTCCAAACTTTCTCAGCAGCTTTCATTTAGAGTTTATTCTCATTCCCCAGATGCAGTCAGTCCTCAAGTTCTATCATATTTTCTTTTGATATGCCAGACATAGCTTCTTTTCTTCCATTTCTATAACTACCACTCAAGTCCAAACTCTCATCATATTTGAGATCTCAATTACCCCAAAACATTTGATTCCAGAACTGTGATTTTGCTCAACACCCCCATGTGATGGAGGTGCCCAGAGCTAGATGTGAACGCAATAATTGTATGACACCACTTACATTTGTAAGACACAGTTCCATTGGCCTCTGATAGTCTGTAACTGAGGTCCACCCTCTTGGTAAAGACATAAGTGATTAGTCAGCTTAAGTAAGAAAATAATATAATTTAGGAACTGACTCATGTTCTTTCATGACCCCAGTGAGACATGCAAGGATGTGACCCACGCTCCTTGGACAGAAACAGTATGCCACAAGGTGGAGAGAGCAAAATGGCAACAATAATCAATGACCTCATTGCTCCAGTTCCTGATGCCCTGTGGTGAGCTGTTAGAGTGAAAGTTAATGGAAGGGGAAAGGGCAAGATAATGTGAGTGTTTTGCCTTTTCCAAGAGCTTTGAAATTACAAAGTGACTATGAGCTTCTCTATGAATGGTTTACCTGATCAGTTTTAGTCCCTTTACATTATAGATGAGAATCCTGAGACAGTAAGAAGTTAGATGCCTTGCTGACAGCCAGGATTAGAACTCAAGATTCTTGAGTAAGTGCTTTGAATTTAAGAGGTTGCTTCTGAGAGAACATAGTTGCATTGGGCTTCACAGCAACAAAGACGAGCTTTTCCCTTCTCTAAAAAACTTCAGGCATTATATCCATAGTTAAACAAAGGGAAAGTAGGGCAGGAAGCTAAGTGAAAGTGTACCTTAGTTAAGTGAACTCTCTTTGTTACATGATAAATAAAAAATATAGATAATGGACCATTAAAGGTGCATGAACTCTAATGTAGACACTTCAGATAGAAGAAATGAAAGTGAGAACGTTTGGGCCAAAGAAAGAAAACCACTCAGGACATAACCCAACAAGATAGAAAAATGAAATACAGAAGTCTCATCAGCTTTAATTAAAGGAAATCAATATTTAAAGTGCCGTCTTTCTCAGTAACAGAATGGGGCAAAAATACTTCAGAAATGTGCCTCTTGCAAATGAGAAAAGCAGGCTTCTGTGAGGAAGCAATCATGAGTCAAAAGCCTTTCAGAAGATGGCCCCTGGGAGAGCTGTTGTAGAGGAGACTCACACACCTGCTGAGGAAGCAGACTAGATGACCTTCTATCCCTTTTACAGTCCGTATGTTTTAAGTACATATCCTCAGCCAGGGAGCTTTTAGGAACCTAGAGTCATTACTTGGGAGCAAAGAGTAGTCACCATATCTCCCAAACTTGAAACAATCACTTAATAATAGCTTGGGTTTCATCTCACTTATCACTTACAAGAACATATATCAGAAAACATTGCCTCCATAAGAGATAGGCAGACAGAGACAGCATTTTCAACAGGATCTTCATGCCATGATCCACCCCCAATCTCAGCTGGCCCACATCATGGGCCTGCACATGCTCACACCAGGTGTGTGGGGGGGAAAACTTGGGACATGAACCCAGAGCCTTTCCCATGTATGTCCAGTTGTGTTACCACTACACCATGACCCGACCTAGAAAATATTAAGAGCTATACAAATAAAACAGATTTATTGTGATTATTCAGAGGTACTATCCAACCATTCATGAAAACTTGCTTCAGAATCCTTTCTAAGCTCACTTATCTTTGTGATCCATATGATAATCAACCATCAGTTAGTGGAATCCAATTCTCCCAGACCATTTCTATTCAGGGATGAAAGATATGTGACATCTTTGTCACTACTTCCTTCTCTCCCACTGCCATTGATAATGACTCATAACACTCCTTTCTACTGAACCCAAATGAAGCTTTTTTATTTCTTCAATGAGTATTTTTGAGCACTCACTTAAAAGCTAGCCAACTGGAGAGACAGATAAACAATAAAATATAAGGAATACTATAAGCACCACATATTAAGTGCCAAGTAAAAGATCTGTAGACAATAAGTATCATAGCTTAATTCTCTTCTGAAATGCAATTTCAATTTCCTAGGACCCTGAAAGTTATTTTTTTAAATTTGAGTACTTTTGTAGTTGCAGCAACACAACTATTTTTCATGGATCTGAGACTAATTAATTTATAGAAGAGTTTACAAAATACTGTAGGAAATGCAGAAGTTTCTGTATGCTGCCCATCAAGAAAGTGAGTCATGTTGTTTTAAACCACTAGTTCTCCTCCCACAAGTACCTCTCTGACCTAAGAGAAAAATTCAGATTGGAGTGGATATGATTGCCTTTTTGGTTTAAGTACATTGGATACCAAATCAGCATCAAATTATTCAATCAGAAACACTTTGAAATGTTGAAGAGTTGGGTTAGTCATAGTTCTCCCACCTGAATACAACACGAATAATGCTGCAAGATTTTATTTTTCACTTTTGTAGTGTTGGAAACATTTATGGAGTTTGTGGAAAAAAGATTACTTGATAGGTGGAGACGGACAGCCAGCCAGGCAGATAGAAAGAGGGCTGGTGTTCATTAACTTTTCAAGCAAAACCTCACCTGGAATTGTTTTCATAGTCTTTTGAGGAGGCTTGGTCAGGAAGCACTGGGGAAAGGAAAGAATCTTATCCTCAGCAGAATATAGCTATTCAGGTGGGATGAAGGAAGCCTGGATCCATACCTTCTGCAATTTCAGACCATAACCTTTCAGATTACAACTCCAGGAGGAGATGAAAGTGAAGGGGGCTGACAAGTGGACTAGAGACATAAAAAGAAGTCAGTTTATTTCAGATAAGCAGTTTAGGAACTTGCTCTAATTCAAGGCAGTCGTCCTCTATCTTATATACTCCGAATTATCCGTATATCTTAGAAATGGGCAGGACTTATTCCTCTAAATCCCTGGGATTGCCAGATGTTTCAGTGACCAGGGTTCTTGGCAGCATCTTAATCTTTAGGTCCTTGAACCATGTCTTTCCAGATCTTTGTAGCTCCCAGTCTACAGCAGCTGCAGTATTTTATCTTTATCGCTCATGAATTTCTTCTGGAAAACTCAGGGTCCTTGATATCGCTGCTTTAGATCTCCTTATGTTTCAAGGTTTCAGAATTATAGCATCTTGTTCAGGCTTATCTATTCAGCCTGGTTCTTTGGGGAGGAACAATAGGTGTTTCCATCAACGTTCCAGCAAACCTTTCAGTTCAGTGGTTAATCTCCCAGCATCCAAGCTTGCTAAAAGTTGTTCTTGCCCCCCACCTCCTTTCAATACATTTTACACAGAATGAACATTTTGGGTTATTTGGTTGCTTTCACCTCCAGTCTTGGTGCTATGCCTTTCTCGTGTGATTTATTCCTGAGAATGTTCTTGTTTTAATTTCCCTTGGATCTACACTTGTAGGATTTGGCAGTAGGTCAGAGGGATCCTTGTCTTTTGAAGGACTCTTAGGCCAGGACCACACACACCCCCTCCCCGCCAGAGCAGCAGTTAACAATAATAAGGCTACAGTGCCTGTTGACAGCTTTCCCTGATGTCCCACAGTGTCATGTATTGAGTTTAAATAGGGTCACTTGTAATGCAGATTTTACAGGACCTTCATACCCAAGGCCCAGACTTGGGAATTTCACAGTGGGAATGGGTATTGTTTTATTCAAAGGCACTCGGATGCCTGAGCTTAGTGACTCAGGAAGAGTTCAGTGACCACCTACTCTAAGCCCACCAGACACACCACATGATCCCTTGTTTCCACATGCTTCCAGTCATGTTTCCCACTGCATACTATTTTTGTGAAGGGCTAGAAGGAGGAAGGCTCAGTGGCCAGTGACCAGGGTGCATAAGTGAGGAAACTGAAACCTACTCCTACACCTAGCATATTATATCCCCTTTTTAAGATTTTTTCCTTATGGTGTATATGAGAGAGAGAGACAGTGAGAGGGAAAGTGAGAAACCACCCCTGGGGGGATGACCACACAGCAATCCTCTCTCCTCCAGTCTCCTCCACTTTCCTCCTGGGGTCTTGGGCATACGTGCACATGCACCTGGCATGAGTTTCAAGCCAACAGGTCCGGGACTCAAACTAAGGCTGGCCATATGAGAGCTCAGTGACATAACCAACTACACCATCTGTTGGTCCCGCATATTGTGTTCTTGGCATCCAGCTGCACTGACCTCCTGGGAGAGACCATTTCAGATTCTCCTGAGTTAGACTTTTGCCCAATTGTTTTGTATTATCACTTAGTTTCAGAGCTTGGTTCTGGATGAGATTAGCTGGTATGGTCTGAGGTACGCCTAAGGATTTCTTTGCCGGGATGTTATAATGTATGGATAGGGGCAGCACCAAGTGCTGCTCAGTTCTCGCTCAGAGGACTGAGTTACATTCTGGTGAGTCTGTACACAGCACAGGGAAATGATCTCCACACTATGCAAGAATTCCAGCAGTTTGCGCCAGTGGGTTTCAGATACCTTTCTTCAGGGTAAAATGTGTGTGCCCACTTCCTGCAGCACCACCCATCCTGACATAGAGTCACAGCCCACCTCGGCAACGCCCACTTCAGAAAACTCCTTTCTGGACCTCTTGGACACTGAATCCTAACTGCTGGGACTCTTGCTATTTCACTCTTCCTGATTAGCCTTTGTCTTTGCCCACACACATCTTCATTACCTTTGCAATCACCAGGAACCTATGATTATCTCTTGTTCCAATCACACCCATGCAACCATTTAAAGCTGATGAGTGCAAGGCAAAATATCTTTCGTGACCCCATATCCCACCCACACATAAATATAACTACTTGCAGACACCTAATTCTGAAGTACTTAAAAGACTTATAAGTATCTGGAAAGCTCCTTGTCATTCTCTGAGACAATATTCTGTGCCTTTGGAAGGTCATGTTATACACATGAAAGCCAAGATACACATTTTTCTTTTTTACCTTCACTTTTTATAAAAGGTTGTGCTGACGTAGATCTTACTGACAAAAAAAAAATATTTCTGATGGAATCAGGATAAATAATTCCATGCATCATCAAATGGAGAGAAGGGCTTTGAATTGGTTTCCATGGAAATCTGAAGATGAAGTAAAGTAATAATTTCAAGGCAGAGCAGCTGAATTGAAGATAATAGTAAAATAGTTTGATAAAGAAAATAGAATAAAGTAATCAAGAAGACTCCAATCAATTATCCTTTTTGTTTACCTTCAAGTGATTATTTTGTCTGCGTTTATTAACCTGATGAGATTAAGCAGACCTTTCTTGTGATTTATTTTGTAAATGTTTTCAAGGTTTGACATAAGCTGTGGAGAAATTGAAGGTGGAGATTTAAATTCAATTACTCTTGAAGCAGGTGGTGCTTCTCTTGAAAGAATATATGAATTCATGGCCTTCCCATGTTACATTATGAGTAAAAATTATTAATTCATCTGATAGGATCTCCCAAAGACTTTTAGAAGTCATTTGGCATTCACATCACTAAATGTCAGCAGCATCAGAACTGAACTTGTAATGCAGAGAAACCAGTATGTAGGAATAAAGGATTGTATGTGGAAGATTGGTTATTTTTATATATTTTTTAAAACTAGAGCATCCCTTGGGGACTGGGCCTCAGTACAATTGTTAACGGAATCCACCAGCTCAAGCTTTGAGTGCCAAAAAAATAGCTATCCTTGAACTTGACCAATGATTTCCATTCTCTTTTATTTTTGAAGGGCACCACTGGATAAGATCTTGCTTTATTTGCTTTATTTTGATGAGAGAGAGAGAAGGAGACAGAGAGAGAGAGAGACTTTGTAAGTCTCTAAATAAAATGACTATTTTTTTTTGTCTCTGTGGTTCTTGTAATTTTTTTTCTATTTTTTTCTGCGAGTATAGTAAAGATAGACTGGGTTCCTCAAACATTAACCCAGGTGCCAACTCTCCATCATCTACAAGGTCCCGGAACACACCTAAGAGCAGGAAGTAAGTGAAAAGCACTCCTATACATCTGACATAGCCATCAGAAAGTCATGCACCATACTCATTTTGTCATTCATTCCCATTCACTCAAGAGAGGTGTGCTGTATGCCTTCTATGTGCCTCACACTGGGCTAGTTGCTGGGGAATTGAAATGAATAAGTGCATGAAGAACTAAAGAAGGAAGAAGAGAGGGAGGAGAGTCAGGAGACGACTTTGAAAAAATAACTGAGGGCTCACTGTAAAGGGTAAGGACATGAGTCCAAAACGATCAATGCAAGATTTGGATGATGAATTTCAAAACTTAAAACAAGAAGTGGGAACCAGCAGTTAGCTTAATGGCTATGTCGCTGGACTCCCACGTAGTCAACCACAGTTTGCGTCCCGGACCCGGTGGCTTAAAATTCACGCCAGGCGCGTGTGCGTGCGTGCCCAAGATCCCGAGAGGAGAATGGAGGAGAAGGGATTACCGCGTGGCCATCCCCCCTCGGGGGTGATTTCTCGCTTTCTGTTTCTATGTCTCTCTCTGTCTGGCGAGCGCACGCGCCCTATAGGAAAATCTCTCTAAAAAAAAAAAAAAAAAAAAAAAAAAAAAAAAAAACAAAAACAAGAAGTCACAGCACTGATTAATCATTTTATGACTTGAAAATCCATAAAAAATACTCTTGATCTATACCTGTGATTTAGAATTGAGTTATAAGAATCTGGAAAACCATTCCATAAATTTCTAGGTTTAAGTAAGTGTTCATTTTAACTATATCATGGACTTACATGATATGTATATTCTTTTCTTAGTAACTAGCAAGTTTCTATACCATGTTCTACATGAAACTGTCTTTTTGGTATTAACAAAGTTGTATTGGCTAAACATTCATGATATTAGATTTACATTTGGGGGCTCATTCTGAAGGAAACTATTGACAGATCTCTCTTTGGTGGTAGCAGAACATGGCAGTCAGCGGTGGTGTGAACCCGTGCAGATGGCTTACCTCCAGTTAAGCTCTTTTCCTTCACTAGCTCTTTGTTTTTTTCAAGATTTATTTACTTACTTTTATTTGTTATTGTTGTTATTTTTTAATTTGACCAGAGAGATACAGAGAGAGAGAGAGAAGGAAAGAGAAAGTTAGAAAGCAAGCCATCAGGTCCAGGACTTGAACCATTGTCGGCCATGTGGGAGTCCAGCACCTTAACCATCATGCCACCTGCTGGCCCCTTCACTAGCTCTTTACTGAATGACTTGAGTTCTCTGGAAGCTCTCTCTTTAGGGGATGTGTGACATTGTGACAGGCAGAAACACAACCCAGAAAAAGCACTCAGCCTGCATCCAGGAGAAGATGAAAGACGCCTTCATTATGCTAAAAGCTCTAATCTAGTCATGTGATATGTTGCTACGAGAACGCAGCTTTGCAATGAAAGGTGAATTTGTAATGGACATATATTTTATGTATTCGGCATTGGACCGTAAATGCTGCACTTTGAATATGATCTGATATTCAATTCCTAAAGTGAAAAATATATTGGCTGCCTTTTTTTTCCTTCTCCTTCTCCTTCTGAATACCATTTTGGTTCTGCATATAAAGTTGAATGTGGGCTATCTTGAAGAATATAAAAAGCGGTGGTGAAGACATAAGACTAAATCTCTGAGCAGTTAGAACTCATTTCAGTTATTTATTGCTGAGCACCACAATCAAAACGCTGTATAAATTATGAAGGATGGGAATTGATGCCCACATTCCCAAGCAGCTGAATGTTTCCAAATTAGTACCCATTCATCCTTAACGTGTACTCTCTGTCTACAGAGATGGCATTGGAGAATTACTTTTAACTCCGTGCTTGCAGAAATGGTAGACCCCATCTGGGCATCTTGTCGCAATGTCAACTGCAGAGCTCAATCTCCATTTATTAGGCCCTGATATATAATTGTGAGTGTTTGTGATTTGCAGTTGAAATTCGAAGGGGTCATTTTTTTTTTTTTTGGTCGTTTCTTTTGCTTGTCAGGAACCCAGTCTTTACCTTTTAAATAAAGAATCTCAGTGGGACCCACAAAAGGAGCAGTTGCTAGAATTTGAGTTAAGATGACATAGAGAATGCATACCTAATATTATACCCAGGTTGTTAACAGGAGGAGGCCTGAACAAATGCATTCTTTAGTAGATAAACCTTATCTTTATCATACTTGCTTTATTTGGACGCATCCCAAGCTTCTACCACTGTGAGGGCCTCTCTCTTTGCACATTCTGAGTTAGGTGTCTTTTGTTTGCCACATACAGTGACTTGCAAATTAAGCTAGTTCCTTTTAGTTCTTCATTGGTTTTATTGGATATTTGTGAAAAATAACAAGGTCACTGATATGCTCTTCATGGATATATGTACCAGGTTCCCTTGCACCATGTCCCTCCCCTTACTTATCTCTGATCGTTTTTTTAGGAGGGCTATTTTTTCCTATCATTTTCTCCTTCTCAGGATCTTTGTCAACAGGAGCAGTACTGACCTTCCATGGACATGGTAAGAAGATTAGAGGCATTTTTCACTGTTATGGAGCAGTGTTTATCAATATTTGGGCACTGCGTAGGAGTTCAGAGAGAGTTGTTATCTACAGTTCTTGCTGCATTTTCTATGTATTTCCTTGGTTTGGGTGTGTGTGGTCGTGATGGGGGTGGATAGGCTGATTTCTCCACTGTGGGGATTTTTCTCATAGTGTGTTTCAGCAGCCTACATGGAGGGTGCTACTCTGCTAAGTTTTCTGAGATTATTAGACCTGACGACTGTGGGATATGAATCAGTTTTTAAGAGTTTCTCTGTTTTATTCTGATGTCAGATACAGGCTAAGGATTCTTTTCCTCTCAGGAAAAAAATTTGGTCTCCTCTTTTTTTTATTTATTTTATTTATTTTTCTTTTTTAACATTAATATGCTATACATCATTACAGTATACAAAATGAATTTTTCATCCAAAATACACTGTCTGTTGGATCAATCAGCACATCAACAAACATGTTATCAACAAACAATTTTTCATTTCTTATGTCTTGTATATTTTACTTTTTTTTTTTTTGCCATCCTTGATTCCCTATCCCTAACCCTCTGCCCTGTCCAACCCTCCTCCCATTGTCTCTGGTATCCATGGTTGCTTTCTATGCCTTTCCCCCCAATTTAATTGATTTGCTAATGAACTTAATTTGTCTAAATATTTGCAATAGCAAGCACAGCTGATATTGAAGAAATAAAAATGCTAAAAGTCAAGTTGCCTCAAATATGCCTCATGGCTAAACATAATAACAACTAAATATGCATTGAGTGAGTATTACGGGTCAACCTGTGTACTGAGTACTTGATACATTTCATCTCATTAAATCCTCACCCACCAAAAGCTCATGAAATAAATAGGCGCTATTTTTTATTTCTATATTACACATGGGGAAATTGAGGCTCAGAGAGGATAATGATGTGTCAACCTGGGGTCTTCAAATGAATTATTTTGATAAAAACCTTTTTTTAGCACCAATAATAGTGATAATGATGACTAAAATATATTAAGTATCTACTTTGTACCATTGTGCTAGATCATGGGGCCATATAAATACATATAAGCTATAATAGGTGCCCTCAAGGAGCTTGCAATCTTAGAAAGGGACACAGAGGATGACACTATAGTGTTTAAGTGATGAAGTAACTACTGGGTGCTGTTAGAGTCAAATTAGTCACCCTAGTCAATGTCAAGGTTGGGGTGGGGGAAGAGATCAACTGGGGATATCAATGAAGGCTCCCGAGAAATGAAGCCTGAACCTTTTAACTTCATCTACTTACCCTTCAGGTAGCAAGGCAAGGTCAGACGAAATGAATGCAAGTAAGTCTCTCAGGTGGGCAAAATCCTTTGTATGTTAGTCAGAGCAAGGTGGAGTTATAGATTAGGTCAGAGCTAAAACAGAATGGCCAATTCCACCTTTTTCCAACTTTCGATCCATTTGGAGCCTGCTGAGATTCGGTGTAGCATGCCAAAAAGCTTAGGAAACTTACAGCTTGAAGCTGTGTCAGTTCTGCTTGCTCTGTTTCATTGCCTGGATCTGATGCTGGGTAGCCAGCCCTCTGTTTCAGGGAGGAACAGATGGAATGGGATATGTCTGAGCAGCAGAGCCAGACTACCCTGGCAATGACTTTCAGGGAGGTACAAGCAGTTTTTTCTATGCCAACAGTGAGCCAAACTGACAAGACAGAAAAAGGAAAAAAAAATATCATAGCTATACCACTGAGATCGGGAGTGTGATTTTACAGAGGTTGACCCATGACTAACCAGGCCAGGCCATTGCATTTGGCCTCACATACGGTTCCCTTTGGTAATGTGAACCTGTTATCCTGGCCAACACAGCACGCCACAGTCAATCCATTTACTGACCCATTGGATTGTCCCCAGAAGGTACTTACTCTGTCAAGGCTGTGGCAGCCACGAAGATCCTTTATAATGGACATTTTGCGTCAGAACATTCTTATACTTTATGTGAAGCTGATTCTTTTATTGGACAGATAAAGACATTAAGACTCAAGAAGAGTAAGTTATTTTCCCAGAGTAATGCGTCTACTTAGTAGCAAGGGGCAGCCCAACATCATGGTCTTTTAATACTTGTTCAGTGCTCTTTCCACTGCAAGGTATGCTACAGTTCTTTTCCCAGAGGCAAGGTACATCAGCCAATCACACTAAAGAATGCCAGGAACCAGGTCTCAGAATGTTCAGACAAGTATTCTCTCCTCCATACACTGGGATACTTGTGTGGGCTCTGCCAGCTACTATAAAAATGGGGACTTTCAGGAGAAATTAGAATCATCCCACTTTTGAAAAATGTAGCAGTAGCAGTTATGAAAGGAAAGAGCGTGCACTTGTCGAACACCTCATTTTTTCTATAAAATAACATCATTCTGGTTGTGTTTGGACAGTCACTCTTTCTCAACATTATTGTAGAGCTATCTTGAGCCTTTAACACACCCCTTTATCAACAAAACAGGGGTTCATAG